CTTGGCCCTGCAGGGAACAAGACTGAGGTGGAAGGCGTCAAAGGCCCACAGCCACCTCTTCTTGCAAAAGCATAATGTCTTTACACGTGGACTGACCCTCACCTAGAAAGGTGACCTTTGTGCACAAAATATGGCATTTAATAACCGATAAAATTCATACATGCCGAATCAGGTCTGGACAGAAGAACAGGACAGAGAAGCATTTTCTGGATTAGCAAGAATTTGATTTGGGGAATATTTTTAAAAGATTTATAAGCTTTTTCCCCCTATGGTCTGTATATTTTAAGCAGAGTTGTGGCAAGTCTGTGGAATGAGGTTAGACTGATGAAACCTTTTAACTTAAAGCAGGCCTCCGTTTGCATAATAATGTATGAAGCATAAATCTCAAGTATCAACACTTTCTTGAACTTTTTATTTAATAAGAGCCAGAGTGTATTGTCTGAATCACTCACATTCCTTCTACTGGCAGCCAGATAAATTGGACTTTATTGTACCTGCCTGTTAAGACTTATTAGGGATTCTAGGCATGAAGGAATTCATTTAGACCAAAAAAAAAAAAAAAAAGTCACTTGAATATTTTTTTCTGGCGAGCGAGAGACTGATTTGGGGGAGTTGCTGATATGTTTGGTGGTGGTGTCGGGTGGTCAGATTCCTCATCACTTTTTTAGAATCTTTCTTATTTTCCTGGGGTTTGGAGGAGATTTGGAGAACTTCCGGGATGAATATGTGGAGATTTTGGGGGAGAAGGGGTGCCTGGAGAGGGCATGGATGTTCTGTGCCCTCTTTCCATACTGTATCTTAGGAAAGGCAAGGTATGCCCTGCCTGGTTTCCCGAGTTATATTATTTTAATAAACTGATGATCTAGTAAGTAAATGGGTTTCCTGAGTTCTGTGAGTAATTCTAGAAAATTAATAGAACCTGAGGAGGGGATTGTGAGAACCTTTGATCTGGACCTAGTCAGTCATACACACAGGCTGCAACTGGCCTCTGCGGTGGTCATAGGAGACCCTGACCAAAGTTAGATACTGTCTCATGATAGATACTGTCTCCTGGTAGATCTGTGGGGTCTGATACTGTCTCCTGGTAGATCTCCAGTTGGGGTCCAAGAATTGCTTGTGGTGTAAGGAAACCTCCATACACACTCACATGGAAGTTGGGTCCAAGACATAAGACAGTGCCTCACACATCGTAAGAGCTCAATAAATAGCAGGTATCATTATTAAAGCAGGTGTGTAGCTTAGTCTAAAAATGCAGGTGCACAGAAATATCAATTTGTTTCCCTTAAAACAGCTTAGTGAGGACTGTGAGTGCCCACTCCACCCACATAGTAGGAAACAAAAAAAAAAAAAAAGAATCTTTCTTATTTTCATTGTACCCAGAGGGGGCAAAAATTCAGGCAGAAAGAAGTGTGCTAGAACATGAGGCGTGACTGTATGTGAAAACAATGTGTGTCAAAGATGAAATTTTAACGTCATCGTAATGAAAATAAATTAAGGTTGGAACTAGAATCAAAGAAACAGTGAGACCCTTAAATGGAGAGACCCCAGCAGAGATGGGGGGGGATGTCCCCTAGCCCCGCGCCCTCCATGGACTCGCCCATTTTATTCACTGGCCAGGATGGGTGGGAGTGTCCAGAGCCACCTTGGACCCCACAATCTATCCCAGAATGACTCTGCCAAGTGTGTGTGGGATGGGGCTTGGGCTTGAGGGTGAACAGCTCTTTCTAGCCTGATAAGCTTACAGGAAAAAGCTTTAGCGAGTCAGTCCTGAGTAACCGTGGCTGGGTCCCCAGCAGCAGGGCCTGTGTGAGCGCGCAGTCATCGAAACCTGGAGCGGCTGCGGTGGAGGGGTGGCTGGCCAGCGCGGGGCTGGCCCGCTTCAGTCAGGAGTGGCTCAATGCCTTGTGGCCTCCAGGGGAGCCACGTCATTCACAGTGAACCCTTTGAGTCACCCTCCATCCCGGTTGTAACCTGACTGACACCTGTGAGAGAAGTGGAGGGGGAGGGTCACAGTTCACAGCTGTCAGCTGAGCTCTACTGGTGTCTGAGACATTTATTGGGGGTCGGGGGTCGGGGGAGTACTGGGGGAGCCCTGTGAATACCTAGTCCCCAGCTCCTGGCCTTCCCTTGATTCTATTCCAGAAATCTGGGAGTCCCTGATTGGGGGTGGGGAGTAGGGGTGGCCTCCCTGTTCCCACCATTTGCTCTTTTGCCTTTTCCTCTTAGCGCTCTGGCCTCTCCTTGGCCCGCGACCGTGGCCAGCACAGCCGTGGTCACCGCTCGGCCCGCTCGTTGCCTTCTGTGTAAACACCCGGTCAGCCCGCCCCCCACATTTAGGAGCATGCCCCTTCATGTCTGGACACACCTCACGATGCTAAATGGAAGCTCTAGCCTGGAACGATACCGGCACCCGGTAAAGAGAGAAGGCCGAGAAATTTTTTAGCAGAGACATTGGGCGTCCCGCGCTCTGTGGTTGCTGCAGCGGTGCCGAGTGAGCTGTCCCGGAGCCCCCAGCTTGCACGGGCACTCATTTTTCTCCTGGTCGGTGCAGGGCTGCTGTTCAGCCTGCAGGTCCTGGGACTTGGCTCTGGGCTTCCGGGTGAGCTCAGGTTGACAACATGAGTCAAGACCTGCAAGAGCACAGGAGGGAAAGTGCAAAGGTGGCGCCTCTGAGAACTCGGCTCAGAGTCAGCTGGTTGTCACTTTACTGAACATCCCCTTGACCGACTCAGATCCCACAGCCAGACCCACGCGTCGGTGGGTCCTCTACCCCTCCAGGGCACCACGGCCTGGGCACTTGAACGAGGCAAGGCGTGAAGGACTGAGAAGTTTGACCGAGTCCACCACTTGAGTCCTTGTAAGTTATGGCCGGAAAGCAAGGCCCCGGTCCCCAGGCTCACAACCCCGTGGAAAGAGGGTCTAGGGCACACAAGCAGCTCCTGGGGGGTGGAGGAGTCATGTAAAACATATGCAAGTATTTCCACGGTCCCCCCTGGAATGGGATGGTTCATGTCACTAACAGGTAGGGCAGGGCGAGGGGGCGGCCACTTTCCTAGGTGTCCAGCAAGCCCCAGGCCCAGCCAGCAGCCCCTTCCCACCAGCCCTCCAACCTACCGGGCTCCCTCCTGCCTTCGGAGCAGCTTCCCCTGTAGCCACTTAGCGTTTCTAAGATATTTTAAAACTCACTGCCTGAAGCGTTTGGCCAAGAAAGCACCAAAGAATTCGAGACAACTGTTAGCAGCTCTTAGAGCCAACGATGGGAAGAGTCTGTGGCTCATCCTCAAGCGATCAGCGATCGGCGGGGTGGTTCGCATTAGGGGCCAGCGGCCAGGCCAGCGCGTATCCCGGCAGTGCTGACGGCCCTGCTGAGAGGCGGCGCGGTTTGGGCCCAACCATACAGTGATTTACTGTCTCGCAGACTGAGTGGCCATGGCGGTGAAGATTGATTTCTGTCAAGAGTATCTTTTTTTAAGAGGCTGTAAATAAAATGCTCGGAGGGTATGTAGAGAACATTCCTAGCTGCTCTCCTTCCACTGAGAAATGCACTTTGCTCAGAGAAACAATAAAATGTGTTCTTTTGGCTAAACTTGTGAAAGGAAATAAATACTCACTGGATGGCCAGGTATTCTCAAATCCATGCCCTTAGGGGAAGGGAGAAAAAATAATTGTCAGAATCTGAAAGCTGCTCCTTTAAGAGGTCTGGATGGGAGGATGATGGAGTTGATCAAAGTATTGGTACAAATAACTTTCCCAGAAGTAATAATTCTGACTTCCAGGTGTCCGGAGTTGAGTGTTTTTTTTACTTCTCTCTCTTGGTCTCCCCCTGGCTGTACCTTAGAACTTCAGGACACGCCAGTGGAAGATCCACTAGTCCTTTCTGGCCCTGTTTCCCTCTGCACATCTTGTCTTTAAACTTAAAACTTCTCTCCATGCCAGGGGCAGCTTCCACACTTTGGTTTTTCCTGGTTGCACTCTCTTCTTGCACAGCTCAAAACCGAGGGCACTTTGTAGATCCAGTTATCACAGCTCTTTCCTAATTTAACAATTGTTGATGAACTAAATGGATCATTGTTGTTAGAATCAGTGCCTTTGCTGTGAAAGTCCTCCATTATCTGAAGTTGAGAAACTGCCTGGGGAGATGGGGAACAATTTCTTTGAGAAGGTCCATTTGAATCGGTCATGAGGGATGAGTAGGAGTTCCTCAGGCTCCAGAGCTAGGCAACAGCATTTTAGGCAGAAGGAACAGCACTTACAAATCCACACCAGAGTCAAAGGAAAAAGATAATATTTCAGGTTTTCCTCTCATGGCAAGAAAAAAGTGGTTTTTTCATCTCTGCTCTTGCAGCAGTGGGGTTTCATCCACAACATGATGAATGCCTGGAAAGTGAAGGGATCTTGAACTGGCAGTTCAAGACTAATTTTTCCATTCCACAAACATCTACCTGTTGGGTGCCAGCTATATTCACGCGTTTCCTGGGCTGTCAGTGTTCTGGGAATGCAAAGAGCAAGCCAATGTAGTCCCTTCTCTAAGTGCATGTTGTCATTACACTGACCAGTGTTGCTTGATCTCATTGCCCCAGGGCCCTGGACTCTGGGCTTACCATGGGGTCTAGCATTTCACAGTCAGTGATGGACAGGAGACAGGGCAGCAAAGGATTTGATGAGTGAGTGGAAGCAGACACAAGTGTGAATTGAATGGAGACTGATTCTATAAGCACGCAGTTTACTAATTTATTATTTTTTTTTTCCACATTCTTCCCAGTGCAGCCCCCTCCCCGTGGGGATGGGTGTGGCATTTGCAAAGATCCTGGGACTTCCCTCTATTTCTGAATTGGGGCTGCTGATGAGGCACCTGACTAGAGTGGCCTGTTGGGGTGGATGTGAAAACGACTTTATAGGTTCCCTGGGGGAGGAGAGGGAGCTGAGGTGCACACCCCAAAGCCCTTCCCGCACATGGTTGGCACCTGCTCTGAGGCTCTGACTGGCCGCTTCCTCCCCAGGTATGGAGAGTGCAATCACGCTGTGGCAGTTCCTGTTGCAGTTGCTGCTGGACCAGAAACATGAGCACCTGATCTGCTGGACCTCCAATGATGGTGAATTCAAGCTCCTCAAAGCAGAAGAAGTGGCCAAACTGTGGGGACTCCGAAAAAACAAAACAAACATGAACTATGATAAGCTGAGCAGAGCCCTGCGATACTATTACGACAAGGTAAACCTTTGAGCCTCTGTGAGGCAGTTTTGGGGAGGGGGCCCCTCAGCCTTCTTGTTTCCTTGAGGAAAGGAGCTAGTAGTGCACTATGGGTCGAGTTGGAAAATGTAGTAGAGGTGATTAGTGTAAGGTGGTGGTTGTTGAGGGGAACTGCGCTTTTGGGATTTTTTTTTTTCCTGGAAGTCCTTTGGGTGCTACTGTGGGTCAGATTTTTGTCCTACTACATTTTCATCTGTAGTTGCTATAGAGCTTGGCTAACAATAGAAACTAGGGGTCCTCTCTCGTGGCCTAGGAGTTAAAGCTCAGTGCTATCACCACCATGAAGGCCCAGCACAACAGCCTGATTTCGATCCCTGATCAGGGAGCTACCCACATGGTGCGGCAGGCCTCTCCTGTCTCACCCACTGCTCCCCTCAGCAGTGTATTTCAGTCAGTCTGCCTGTTCTGTTCCCCACCCTGTCTCTGGTGAATCCTCTTATCCCCCACATCTCTGGCCTACACCCCAGTTCTTCTATATATAAATAAATAAAAATAAAATCTTTAGGGAAAAAATCCAGAAATCAGAGGTAGGAGTACCCCAGGGCCTCCTGACAGGGTCTTGTGTGACAATGAACGGTGACATCTAGAAAGCCTGTTATCTTTGTGGTGTGCCCATCATTCAGAAACGGGCCTTTCCCTGGAGGATGGCCGCTTCGGCAACTCCTCCTTTATAAAGTGTGAGTCATAATAGTGCTCCCTCAGGATAGTTGTGAAGACTAAATGGGCCTGAATACAGGAGGCATTTAGAACCAGGCAGGTGCCTGGGGTTTGCAACTTTGTGGGAAACTTCCCTAATTAAATAAAAAGCCATCTTCATTTTGAAGTCACAGTGATGAGTCAGTGCTTTGTTAAGTGATAACAGGACAGAGCTGCCAAAGCCAGGACAGTTAGAGTGAGTTTTAATGCATTTCTGGAAAAGCAGTTAATGTGCCTGCTAGGGAGGAATCATTGCTATTTAGGGGTGATGATTTCAGGCTAGTAATGGTTGACCCTCTCTGTTTGAATGTGTTGTTGCTGAAAATTGATTTAACCTCATAGACACAAAGACGTGGATTCCTAGTAAGGGTAAGCTTTTGTTCTGAATTTACTGTTCATATTGAAAGGTGAATTAAAAACTGATTTAAATATTAGTTCCCAGTCTATATTTAGTGCCTTCTATCTGCCAGCCTCTTTGGAATTCTAGACAGAAGGATTATACATTTCAGGAAATGGAGGCATCATTAATTATAAAGTGTTCCTTTATATGATCGTAATTGCATATGATTATGTCATTGAAATGTTAAAGGTGCTTTCCTTTAATGTGGCAATTAATTAATCCTGGCTTAATGCAGAGTCCTACTAAGATGGAAAAGCACTTCTTGCAAATTGCACTGTCTGAAAGCCTCGCAGATGGTTTATTGTTTTGCATTTTCCCCCAGGTTCTAAGTTACACAAAGGAAACTGGGGCCCTCTGAAAGAAAACAGTCATTTTTGCCTGCTGGCAGGATGCCTAAAAGTCTCGGCTTTGACATTAAAATTTTTTTTTTCCATTGTTTTAAGTCATCAAAGAAAAGGAGTCCTGCCTGAGTGTCTGTGACTTGGTTTCACCTCTTCACACATCCCGGGCACTGCGGGTTCGGATGTGTCTCTTTGCACAAACGGAAACAATTCCTTAAAAGATGAGCAGAACCCCCGCGGTGTGGACTGCACCTGATCCCCCTGGGGCACATTTCTTAAATCTCTAGAGAAGCAATTGCAGAGCCTCAGCCAACTGGCTTTAGTACTACTTCCTATGTTTGAGGCGCTGTGCTGAGGCGCTGTGCTGACGACTTCCTACCTTCCTGGCCTTGAAGCCACAGCAGCCCGGGAGACAGTCCCGCTGGCACCTTGTCCTTCCACACGAGGACATGGAGCCTTTGATGGGACCCTGCCCAGGCCCTGCAGCCTTAGAGCCAGGATCTAAGCCTGGCTCGTCTGCCCACATTGTCTGCCCACACGCCCTGTCTTCCTGGTCACTCATTTCCTTTACCTTGAACATCTGAGTCTCAGGCAGGCAACCAGCAGCACCAGGGTGACTGTAGCCTTAGACATTCTTGCGCTGGCAAACTGCGCTGGGCATTAGGAGGAGCGAGTCTTTGGGTGCCAGTGGCTGGTGGGAGCTGCTCGCTGCTGTTTTCTTCTATACGTTCTATGGGGGCAGGGGGAACCTGCCTTGGAGCTGCCACCTGGTGCTGGTGAGGGCAGGAGTGTCAGGCAGGCTTGGCTACCAGGAGAGGACAGTGCTCCCCATGCATACAGTTGAATGTGCATATACACAGTGCCCGCTGTATACAGTCTGTATGCATGTGAGAGTAAATGCCATCACACGTTCGACTCTTTCTTGAGAAGTAGTCTCGAGTGATAAGAAAGTGAGCTCATTAGATGCCTAGTATGTTTAAAAAGAAGAGGAGGAAGTAGGAAGAAGAGGCGAGGGGTGAGGGAGAGCAAGAGAAGTGGATAGGGCCTCCCTGGTGGTGTAAGGGGTTAAGACAACCGATGAAGCTAACTGCAACCACTGCAGCGCGAGTTTGATCCCCGGCCAGGGAGCTACCCACATGGCACAGCGGACCTCTCCTGCCTCGCCCGCTGCTCCCCTCAGCAGCATATCTCAGTCAATCCACCTGTTCTGCTTCCTACTCTGTCTCTGGTGAATCCTCTTACCTGCTCCTCCCACCTCTGGCCTGTCCAGTTCTTGTATGCATAAATAAATAAGTCTTTATAAAAAAGAGAGAGGTAAGGAGTGAAGAAGAGGTAGAGACGTGGCAAAAATTTACAAATTTTCCTGTAGGATAGCCCCCCAAAACTTATTTGGGGATATATTCTCAGACCCCTAGAGGATGCCTGAAACATGGAGAGGACCAAACACTGTATGTGCTGTGTTTTATACGGACTGTTGGCTTCAGACCAGAGCAGTTATTTCAACGACAAAATGAATTTATTTATTTGGAAATAACAGGAAAGAGGAAAGATTGGAAAGCCCAAGTTCACGGCAAGACCCTTATGCAGGTCCCTGAGTCCAAGGCTGACCCTCCCCCATTCCCCAAGCCAAACCTCTGCGGGGGAAAGAGCGTCTTCCCGGCAGAGCTGGGGTCTTTGGCTCTGCAGTGAGCCGGTCACACAGGTGTGCTCTCTTCTTCTGGCCCTCGCTTCCCTTGAACAGGATTTCTGTATATTAATGTTTGCGTGACATGCCTCTGATAACATTTAATTGATGATAAATTAGGCCCGGGGAATGATTATAATAATACAATAGAGCTGTTATAACAATATAAGTAACAAAAATTTAGTGCATCTCCTCTCTCTCTCTCTCTCTCTCTCTCTCTCTCTCTCTCTCTCTCCCCCCCCCGCCCCCCACCAAACCATCAAACTTTTAAACTGCCAGAATTTGACAATGGGCAGCTGAAACTGAGGGCAGCAAAGCCGCGGATGAGTAGGGAACTACTATATTTTATACTTTGTGATGAATAGTTCATTATTTTTATGGTACATGTTATATTTTTAGCTCATTCCAGAATATTAGAAATGGGCAGAGGGAAGAAAAAGTAGAAAATGTGTGCAAAACTTTGCGGAAGGCATCAAAGGAGAATAGCAGGGGCTAGTGGTGTCAGGTGGGGCCAGGGCCTTGTACTCATTGTTCCTCAGAAAAAAAAAAGCATCATCTGGCCGGGTATGGGGCCTCCCACGTTGCCATAGCCTGCTGACAGCTTGGACCGCAGGCTAGATTGTCTGACTTTGACTCCAGCTCCAGACTGTGGTTGCTTTGCCTAATTCCTCCTGGCCTCATCTTCCTTTTCTGTAAAGTGGGTATCATAGTACAGTGTCTGCCATTAGCTGGGGGTTACCTGAGGTAACGCAGTGCTGAGAACCGTGCCCACACACATCGGTGCTGTGAAGTATTAGCCAGAGTCATAACACAGGTGCTGTTTTCCTTAGTGCTGATTTGAAAGATCCAGACAGAAGAGAGAAAATTAGGACTTAGCCCTCATTCCTGCACAGGCACAGCATGAAGTACGGGTGGCCACACTCTGGATAGGAGTTTTTTTTTTTCACCCATGAACTTCCCAGGAGCACCTTGTGGTCCTTCTTAAAGACTGAGGATGGTGGCCACAGTTTCTTTTATCCACTTACCTATTTTAATATCATTAGACTCTTCTGAACATTGAATTCCTGAGCTGCTTTCATACTTCAGCGATGATGCTTCCTGGCCTTGAGTCAGGATGCACAGATGGGGTGAGTCTCCATCTTCCCTGTGACCCCAAGTGACCAGCATGAGCTTTACCTTCTGCACCGTCCGGCTTAGACCCCGACTGTCCCCCATCTCCGAGTCTCAGTCACCCATTGGAAAGGGGGCGTCATAGCAGCACCCTTCCCGGTTGGGTGTGGAGGGATCAGAGACCTTGTAGACAGGTGCTCAGCACACGTCAAGCACCTGTAAGGGCTTTCAGTAAGTGCTCATGATTTCCATTGTCTGTGCATGACGTAACAGTGCTCTTGTTTAAAGAGCTGTCTCCTCACCACACTGTCCTCACCCTGCTCTTCTGGTTTACCCGCTTTTGTTGCTCTGGGGCCTGTCCAGGATCTGGCACTTCCCAGCTGCTCAGTAAATGTTAAACGAATGAACAAGTGGATAATACAAGGAAGTGGACACCACCCAAATACGAATCACTCACTTCTGTAATGAAAGTTCATATTAAACAAATGCTAAACTTAAAAACAAACAAAGCGTTGCCAATTTTGGTTACCATAGTGTGTTAGTTTCCTAGGGCTGCTGTAACAAACAACAACCAGGTGGGTCCCTTAAAAGAGCAGACACTTAGTGTCTTGGTTCTGGGTAGTGGCTCCCCACTTTGCCTCTGTCTTCACCTCGTGTTCTTCCTGTGTGTCTCTGTGCCCAGATCCCCCTGTATAAGGAGGCCAGAGCTGTTGGATTAGAAACCACCCTA